CCATACTTTAATAAAGAGATTGCTTCAAATCAAAAGCAAGATATAATACATGGATCGATTATTCATACTGTAGCTAAGTGAACTAAACCTCTGAATGTAGATTTGTAATTGGATTAGTTGATATGGATCATGCTAATAGTTAGCTGTATGATTCTTCATACACAAGCCTAAATGATTGCACTGGATGCTATGAGTATAAGTAATTTGTTCAGACTCTGATATCACAAAAACTGTTCTAGCTTTGGATAAGGCATTCAAATTGCACTTCAACCACTGGAATAGGAAACTGATACTATTTGTAGGATGTATAATTCTAACTGCATTTCCACTGCTGACGGAACTTGTTAGGAAAGATTAAAGACATGTGATTTATATTTCACTCAGAATTGTTGTTCTACTTCAGCTACTAAAACAATACTAGATAAAAGAGTAAATGGAACAATATATATACCAATTACAATTGTTGCTATAAAAAATTCGGATATTGGACTGGAACTGGAATTACAGATTCAATTTGTTAAAATACAAAGAAGGCTGTATTCAACTAAAAGGTGGTATTGTAAGTAAAATGATATTTTGGTTCGTCCTCTTTTTCAAAAATTACTTTTATGATCAAATTTTTATTGCTGAAATTGATACGTATTTTTATTATATTTTTTGATATGAACATATTTTTGAAAGCTCCCTTTATAATTCTGCTTTCTAAGAAGCTAAATATAATTGCAAGAACTACATAAATGAATAGCCTCTTTCATGCATTTGGATTGATAACCATCACAGATGTAAATTATGGTTTAATAACAGGAAAGTGTTCTTTATCATGCTTTATGTCAAGCTTATAATCTAGATTGAACATCAATTGCTGATGGATTCAAATGTTAAGATTTTAAATCAATTTGCGAATGATCATATCCCTATTAAGTTACACAAAAACTGAGGCCTCAAAATGTAAATTATATGGCTCAATTTGTATCACGATTTCAAATGCCTCAACTGATTATATTAAAATAACAGGGTTGCTGAAACTATAGCATATGACATTTGCTACTCTTATAACACAGGATGCAGTATAACTAGAACAAGGAGTGCTTGTTTTTAAAATAAGCTTAATGTTACGGATACGTAATTTCCCTCTAGTTGTTATAAATCAGTAGCTGGTTTATGAATACCAAGTACAAATGCTGATACTACTTTGTTGCTGCTTCATCTGCTAAAACATGTGACACTGTCAATTTAGAATCAGGAATTACCACAGTGCAAAATGTAATGAAAAGTAAGTCGGATATACAGTTAATGGAACAACTGGATGAAGCAAAAACTTGTGCCTAATCATATTTACTCATGTAATACAATACTTAGCCTAATACTTGTGATGCAAATTAAGGAGATTAAGGATGCTTACATATGGATTTAGATGTGCAGATTAAGCTTCATCAGTTTGCCTTTACTCTGTTGAAGGAGAGTGAACATCATGTGTAGAAATGTGATATTGCGGCAACTGATGCTACAAGGGAGGATGACACTAAATGTTCAACTTACTAGTAATCAGATTTTGTTGCTAGAATAGGAGGTTGTCAAACCAGAGCAACTGGTGATTTCTTACAAATCTTTACTCTAATTTACGGTTGATAAAAGTAGTGGAATATACTTTTCGAATCCAACCAATTTGACATGTGTTGATTTGAATTGTGGTAATATTGATGGCATAACTTCATTCGACATCCATAATGAATTTGCTAGTGTGCACTTGTTTGCACAGTTAATGCGTAAAAGGTGTTTCTGTTTAATGGTTTTATGGCAAGAGGAGCATGCAGTTCATATACAATAGAAGAACAATTCAAACTATAAGTGGTGGTGTTTGTGTTTGGAAAACACTTGGCTGCTAAGATAAGTCCTGTATTAGTGGTCTTACTTTCACTTGAACCCCATAATGATTTCTATACTTACTATAATACAGCAATAGCATAATATACTGTTGTAGCCACTCCGAGCAATAGTGGTGATAGCTCAACTTTAGGAGGGTGTTAATAGAGAGCTGCAGGTATAACATATATTGACAAAGAATAGTGTTAAATAACTAAATATGGGGATCCATAGTAAATGGAGTGGATACTTAATATGCTGTTCTGGTTTTTTGCTACTGCTTCTGTAATGATGATGATCCAAAAAGCTAGAGCTTACATTGCTAATAAATGCACATTCTCAGATTCCGAAAAATAGATGTTTAGATATTCCTGCTACTTTGCGAAACAATAACATCGTAAATAATTGTTTTTATACTTATGGCTGGTTGATCGTGCTATAGGACAGGAACTGTCTGTATTTCATGTGAAAATGCTCTAGATATAACAGCCACTGCAAATGATTGCGATAATTTTATTGATGACTGTGATTTAGATAATGTTAAATGCAAAACTAAAGTTTCTGGAGATTTTGCCTTTGCCACAGATGCTTTATGTAAATGAGCTATTTCTAAATGCAACCATTTATGTTACATGAAGGACACTTGTACAGGTTTTAGATAAAGCCCGATGTGTTACTTCTTCAAAAGGAGAATAATTTGATTAGGTTCCAGATATGGATTGTGGTTAGTAGTATTTTAGGGATAATAAAAAATGAGATTAATTATACCATAAAAACCTTATCCTTAGAACCAGATACTTTGATAACTGAAGACTTATGCAAAGAATATTTTCCTATTTGCCCAACAAAATAAGGAGAAAGATGTCTTCAAAAGTTAACGTGTTAAGCAGCTACTGTTGATAAGGCTTACTCAATTTCAATAAAAGTTAGGATGTCATTCAACAAATATGCAGAGTTGAAGAATTTTTAGAGGATGGGATTGCACTGCAGAATTCATGGGAGATGTGCAAAGGTATAAAATTGGGTGTTAGAGTTGCTTGTAGATCGAATAATATATGTTATGATGGCTCTCAAGGAGCTTGTTTCTTTACACTTCTTGTTAGAGTTTAGAGTGGACCAGTGATTAATGAAGTAAATAAATAAGTGATAAATGTACAGCAGATGGATAAATATTGTGTGGCCATTGTTTCATCTTCAGAAAAAAATACTTATGGAAGTTGTGCCATTGGAGTTGATGGCATTTCTATACAATAAATGAAAGCCTTGAAATCCATTGATTCAAAAGGTTTGTAAGCTATTTATATCTTGTGTCAACGCTATCTACATAACTCATGAAGAATGTTAAAGAGCTAAAAGGGGTCGTACAACAATCGACTAACTAGTTGTACATAATTACATGAATGTTTATCACATACTTATAAAGCTGGTTGTGTTAAAAATAGAAATCAAAACAACGGGTTTGACATCAACTTAACTAAGCAATTAGGAATTTAATAGTTGTAGAAATTAAGATTGTTCTGATTACAACCGAACCACACATCAAGCTTTAACTTTCTATCGATATTTGAGTCTGTGACATTAGCACATCAGTATTATTTCATTTCAACATTTAGGAAGGAGCCACTCTATTCCGTTACCTAATCAAATTTCGAACTCCTGGGTTCATCATCTTTTGATTCCTTTAACATAAAGAAAGAAAGAGTTTATATGGGAATTGTCAAAGTCGCAATCAATTTAAGAAAAAGCTTAGATAGCTAAACGAAAAGCAAAGGATAAGAAAATTAGGGTGAAATAGTCTGGTATAATCTAAAAAGCAACATAGAAACTATTAAACTTTTAAATTCACAGAAAAAAAGATTAGTTCAATGAAAATAGAAACTTTGACAATTTCCAAAAAATGTAACCTCAACTTCGGAGAATACATACTTTGAGTTTCATCAATCTCTAGACTTGATCGATAATCATTCACTCCCATAAAATTAAGAACAATTATTTTAAAGTCAAAATCTATTAAAATTTCACACTCAAAGTAGATAGTAAAAGATGTTAGTGATAGTATACCTTGCTCTCCTCAAATCCATAATCACATTGTCATTTAATTAAGTCATTCTAATCTTGTAAAAAACGGTGTTTGAAGATGAAGAAATAGCCTAAACCTTGCTCTAAGTTCTGTTTTTTGATGTGAATGCTGAATTATTTAACTTTTTAATTGGACGTCTGCTAGTCCTTCAGGTCCAACAAGACAATAGTAAGTTTGTAGTTTTTTTCTTAATTCTCCAAATTTCTATATTAATTGGCTTTATAAAAACATCCTTCTTTAAAATTTTAGATGGTTCGAGAAAATAAATCACTAGGAGATCCATCCCTAATGATTAGCCCATTAATACTAGAGCTTAACCGCATCTTGATGTTGCAGCACAGATCTCTTTTGCTTTTTGGATACAATAAAAAACTTTAGCTTTTGAACTAAGTTTAATTCATCTCCTTTCGCATCACTATTTCTTGATGCTATTAGAGTAAAGAAATAATCTAGATACTAATGTCTATTAATAATTTAATTTACTTCATCATAAATTTAATCTTTAAGTGTGAGAGTACTTCATCTCTGATGGCTTGCTTTGGATATATCCTAAACCTAATTAAAAGAAGGATTGTATTGTTAATAATATTGAAGTTAATAGATATTCTTTAAATATTTTCTTTTTTTTTAAATTAAGTTAATTTATTTTGAGATGATAGTTTGATTAAAGTCTTACTTTTGTAAGAATAGAATAACTTTATCTGATGATATATTTTATAAGCAAAGCATGGACTACTTTGATAATGATTAATCTGTTGAAATCAGAAAACTCTTATAAGTTCAATCCATCAGGTTAGTATCAAATCCAAGAAGTATCAACTTCATTTGACTCTGATGTATACATATCTGGAATATTTGAAATGCTATTAATAGTCTCTCTTTGACCATCCTTGGAAGCTCTTCAAATTTTATTGCCTATTGGATCCATTGTTCATGTTATACCTTCTTTACATAGATCACAATAGATTTTTTAGGGTTTCTGTTTTAATTCTTTTCATAATAATCTTTATATTTTATTAAATTAATGGAATTTTCTTTATGATTGACCTTAGGACTAAAGTATTTGATTTTGATGACCTAATAAATCCCTAACTCAAAAACAAATTTGGCCTTTAGATTCTTGCATTTTCTCGAAAGAACTTTTAAATATTGATTAAAAGTGGGTTTTTACAACAATTCCTCAATTTTCTAGATTTATTGAACTATTATTCAAAATAGTGAAGTTGGGGTTACATTATTAATATAATTTATCATAGAAAATATTTTCAACTAAGAATAAATAAAATTTCTTTAAAAGTTAGAAGAAATATATAAAAAAACTTTTATACTAGATATGATGCAGCCTCTTTCTAATAAGTCCTTACTTTATTATACTTTTACACTGATACTTAAGATCAGAAAATAATTAGATCTTGTTTTTAAATTCGATTAAAGTATTTCTAAATTTATTCAATTGAATTTAATCAAGAATTAATTTGGTTTTGTGATAATAAAATCGAAAGCACAATTGTAAATTTTAATCCAAATAGTATTATTCCAAAGGGTCTTTCGATCATTTATTTAAAATAAAATAGAGGATAAACAATTACGATAAATTCTATCCACAAAATATTATTTATTTAATTAAACTAGACCATTGTTAATTAACTTCAGAATTGGATGCAAAAATACAGATGATTAGCCTACAAAGAAGTGACTTTAACTTTAATACAGAATTAAATTTAACTAAATGAAAAGCGAATTAAACTATGGAGTTATTACATTAAAGTGGTAAATTTAATTTTAATAGATACACTAGGTATTCATTATCATAATACTGAAAGTTTGACGATTTAGCAAATTTAACATGGTTTCTAGAAAAACTCTAAACTCAAAAATTGTTTATACTTTAAAATTTTTACTCTGTTATAAAAGGTTATTCATACTTTAAATGTTTTGATTATGCACATGAAACTACACTTTGATGTTTATTATCAGTCTTAAAGGAAATGAATGATTAATTATAGACTGGTATTTATTAAATATCGATATTAGATATAATATGTTTATTGCTAAAGTAGATAAAATAACAATGGATTCTTAAGTAGAATTTTCTGCAAATTTGACAAAACAACTTTATAATAGGATAAATAATGGTTTTTTTGTAAAAGTACTTTACGATTGGAGAGGCACAGCAAAATTATTAAATTATGCATAAAAAACTTAAATTATAACAAAGGAGGTCAATCTTGTAATTATGACTCTAAATTTTACATTCTTATTCTTGTTGAACTTAAAATTAGCATATATAAAAAGTATAGAGATTATGATCATTATTTTTGAATTAGCGTGGATAGAAAGCAGGTAAAAGATATTACGAAAGAATACTAGAAGAATCAAGCGATATATAAATGTTAAAATGAATTATCATTAACTTTATTGCTATTAGGTCAATAAGAGATTAGACCACCGTTTCTTATTACATTCAGGGATAAACTGTAGTTATTTAAAAAATTATTTCTATTTGTATGTATACTCTCTATTATTTTTTTTACTTTCAAGGGTTTGCATTCTACAAAAATATAGGATAAAAAATCATGTGAGCTTAATATCATAAAATATTTGTACTAAAATACTTTATTCCTCCATAAATCCTTGCAATTATAGGTAGCTTATCACAGCCAATATTATTTGAAATGATGCACCACAATCCAAAATCCGTTACATTTTAGTGATGTTTAAAATATAATGCCTCTTTAGTATATTTATCATCTTAGTCCTCTATGAATAATAAAAATAAAATGATTGTAGGAGTAACCATTACTTTGAATATCACAATAAAATTACATTAAACTTGATCACATATAAATACATTAAAATGCCCACATCAATAAAAATAAGGATTTTTCAAAAGATATTCGTATAATAAATGGCTAACTAAATATAAATAGATGGGCTGAGTTGAATTAGGTAAGGAAAGTTATTTTATAACTGGGAATATATTGATAAACTAATGATTTATTCTGTTTTTCTTTCACTTCAAAAAATTTCCTAATATATTAATATTGAAAAATTAATGTATTTTTATTTATGGATTTAATGATATTTATTCGATATTTACTTGTTGTAATCATAAAGTTTTTTATACATTTAGCTTTAAAGCTACATTGAAAATGGAATCTTCCAGTTCATGTGATATTTTTCATTTAAGTTCCATTAAAATTAGAAAACTATTTACTATTTAAATTATTGTTATCTTTGGATGTCTTCTGCATTTCATATTCATATAGGAGGGGCTGGAGTAATGATTGGTGATATGTTATGGTAACTATATGAAAAAGAATACAATGAAACTAATCAAAAGAATTATATTTATAATGAAGTCGATGGGAATCATTATCCATTAGCACTTTTCGTAGACACAGATGACAGAATGATACACGAAGTCTAAAGGAACAAATCAGTCAAATTTAAGAAGCATTCATTTTTACACGGGAAAGAGGATGCATTAACTTATGCTCGAGGTTGTTATGATGGTGGAAGATTGATTTAAGATGAAGCATTAGAATGTATTCGAAAACAAATAGAAACCATGGATCGATTAGATGAATTTGTGATTACAAGTTCAATAAGTGGAGGAACTGGGTCTGGATTTTGTACTAGGTTAGTTGCTGAGTTGAATTGGCAAGGTGGATACAGGGAAGTAAGAAAAAATGGATTTATAATTTTCCCATCTTCAGAGATGTCCAATAATATTATTGATACGTATAATGCTGTGTTATCGATTAATATTATGAGAGAATATTTAACAAGTATTACAATATTTGACAATTAGTCAATGTACAATGTTATTGATCATCAATTAGGTTTAGACTTTGTTGATTATTAACATTTAAACAACTTAGTTGCTCAAATAATTAGTTCGTACACAGGACTAAGAAGATTTAACTCAGAAGATAACTCCGAATTTTTTTCAAATATGTGCCCTTATCCTCATTTACAATTTATTATTCCATCCTATGGTAAACTGACTTTAATGAATGATTACAATAGAAAAGAATTAGAAAGCAAATAATTTATTTAATATCTAACAACAAAGGACTAAAAACTTTATCAATGTCCTTCTAATCCTAATCATATTTTAACTACTTTATTATTGAGATAGCAATATTTGAACCCTTTCTTTGGTAAATTGGATATAATTCATAAGAATTTAGATTATTTCTTTGGCTACAGATCAGATATTTTTCAATGTAAATCATCTAATTACTAAGTATTACCTGAACTTGCAGAGATGAAACAAACTGGAACTTTTTTTTCAAATGATGCTTCAATTGTTAGTAGATTATAAGCATTATTAGACAAATTTTATAAATTTAAAAAAAGACAAGCCTACACAGATACCTATCTTAAAGAAGGAATGGAAAACAGGGAATTTTCTGAGGCCGAAGAAAGACTGTCTAGTTTAATAATAGATTATGACGAATTTAGAAACTTTGAATAATATATAAATAGAGACCTTAAGCAAGATGAGTTGTGAGATGTATTATTAATTATATGGAAGTTTATATTATATAATTAAAATGAAAAAAATTAATTTCTTTTTCAATTTTTCCTAATTTAAGAACTAAATCCAACTAAAAATAAAATGATAAATTTGGCATATCTAAAGTAAATTTGTTAATGATATTGTTTCTTCGAGAAATAATGATGCATTCTTAATTAATTTTTTTAAATTATCATCAATATTTGAATTCAATAGCATAATCTATTTATTTGTTTTAATATTTATCGACGTGAAAAGATGATTAACAACAATTTTTCTGATTGTGAACAATAAAAAAAGGCTTGCAAAAAAATTGAAAAAGCTTTATAAAGCCTACTTAATATTTCATCCTTATACTTTTAAGATTTTAAAAACTTCAAATCAATACTTATTTAAGTTGAAGTAAGAAAAAGCTGTTACCTAAAATAAATTATAACTTCTTACTCACTATAAATTATTTAATAGCGAATTGAAAGTTAACCTTTATTATTTTTAGTTTATTATATTCTGATAATTAATAAATATAATTTAATTGTTAATTTGGTTTTTTAATCACATAAACCCTTTTTGTTCTATTTATTTTAAATAATCGTCTTATCCAAATATTGGATCATTGTTTCCTAAAACGAAATTTAAAATAAGGAAGAAAAACAATATTTCTAAAAATATCATTTTATTATTTATAAAAGAAAGTTATTTTATTGATAACATAACCAAATCAATGAGTATTAATTTGACATGCTCGGTTATTAAAAGGTTGAATAGTAAAACCATTTTAAAGTAAAAAGAATTTCAGCAAGAAGATCAATCTCCAAACTTAAAATTTTATAATTAAAGTGCTTTCTATATTGAGACCTCTCACTTCTAGAAGCTCATTAACAATAGCATGTAATTGCTTCTATAATTCTCAAAATGTGACCTAATAAATTCACAATCAATAGTAGAGAAATGATGATCACTTTATAATTGATGAACAATTACTTAGTGAAGTATTGGCCAAACACTACTGTCGAGGATTCTAAGAAGATTGATAACAAATACATAAATTGTATGAGTATATAAAAATGCAAAAAAGGGAATAGTGAAGATAAATGTTTAAAGAGATAAGAAATTATGAAATTGGTGGTAATAAAAAGTATGATATTCTTGATTATTCATTGATAATCATCTCGTTGATACATAAATATTTATTAAACTTGTTAAAGGGAACTTCATTTCAATTTAGTGGGATACTCTATTATAGAAGGTTTACATTAAAAAGGCTGTTGGTAATTTCTTTAGTATGTGGAAAACTGGAAGTGAATACATATTATATAAAAATAAAAATTCTTAATAAAATGAGAACAGATTAATTATTGGGAATTAAATTAATAAAGCCAAAAATTTAAATCAGATAATTAGGTTCCTTAGCTTTGAGAATTTGAGTTAGAATAATAAATTTATAAAAATTAAATTCCCTTAAGAGTGAACAAAATGGTTCCATTGATATTTTTGAAGCAAATTTAATTAGTATTAAATTAAGAAACCAATTATGATTATTTTTTAATTAGAATTGTATAATAAAATAGATGAAACAAAAGATTTTTTTTTAACCAATTAACTAATATATTTAAGATAAATTCTTCAAGCCAAGAATTATTTTTTACTTTAAAATTATCTATTCTAAATGAATGTTTTTGCTTTACATCATTATATAGATCATTTTGATGTAGTAAATTTAACCAGAAGGATTTGGTATTCTTTTTGAAATCAATTATCTACACTATTATCAGAAGGCAATCATAACTTTTATAGTTAATTCTATATGTAACCTTATGCGTTTGTTGTTTCTATCTTCTAAATAATTTATTTAGCTTGTTACTTGTTCCCTAATTTAAATATTTTTAAAGATTCTGTTTAAAACCTTAATGAACAATATATAATAATAATTCTTGGTGTTTGATATATGTGTCATTGTAAACGGCTTCTTAATATAGCAAGGTCCACACTTGCTAGCAGGAGAGTTAAAAAATACAGTGTAGTCTATTAGCGTGGCACAGATCATCTTATCGTCAAAGGATAGTCTAATCAACCAATGGTTTTTAATGATTTCATCAAACATTTTAAGTAATTTCTTATTTAGGATATATAAATAATTTAAAGTATCTATCTAGTTTACCATATTAAATTAGTCTGATCTCCACCATCCTATATCTTCTCTCTGGCGTAATAAACACAATCATGTCAGATTCGTCGTATACAGCGTCAATTAAGCCCAAATAGTCTTTTAAAATCCCTCTTTTTATAGATCGCTCTCTACTTTTACAAACTTGAGCTCTTCTATAACCCTCTCTCTTTATAATCCTTCTAAGTCTTTCGTTTTTATTGGATTTTAGTACTCATAGTTGAGTTCATAAATAGACTCATATAGCTATTCAGCCCTCAGGTTTCAGCAAATTAGTAGAGCCATTTGGGAATATTCTAACCGACAGAATGTATTCGTCTCTTTCCCCATCAACCATCTAAGCTAAGCCCAAAGCACCTTCAATCAATTTAACTTATTGAAGTTCCTTCTATATCTACGTTCTCGGTAGCCACGTTTAGGACGTCACTCATAGATTGACCCTTAGTTTCCTCATTGTTCCTTGGCTCTATTTGGATTCTTGATCCGATATCCTCTCATTTATTATTACTCTTATTGCTTCTATTATTAGTTCTCTAAAGCTACCAACATGTGTCTCACCTGCAATCCTTCTATTGAGTTGCTTCTACTCGATTTTTCTCTTTCGTTGTTATCAATTTCTTTCTTCCTCTAGCGAAGCTTAAATATGTTGACCAATCCTATTGGATCAATTATATTGATCCACGATTCTTCTCCTTGTAAAAGCATCCAAATTATCAATCTGAATTTCTGTAAAGAATGTGGTGATATATATCCATATCCTCTTTCATTAGATTGAAGCTTCTCTTAGTTTCCTGGCCTTTTTATATTATCGGATCCCTATCAGGAAACTGGTCCCATCTATGTAAGATCACTCTAGCATCAATTAGGTTTGATACCTTTACTCTCCCTATCCTTCAACCTTAATTCATCAATGAATAATGTTTTTAAAATTTGATCCTCCATATTCCCCTTATCCATGAAAGTCCTTATTAAGCATTCAGTCGTCAGGGAGTCTTCACAATTAGCCTATTAGGTGGATCTTGATTAAATAATGCCCTATTAGGGATTTCCTCCCTTTGACCTTTAACTGTGTCTTTTTCTGGACATTTAGAATTTTTTTTTTAAATTATTCTGAATAATATTTAAAATTTAATGAAAAATATCTTACCCTTTCCTTGGATTATTAGAGGATTAGTATAACTTCACTACCTTAAAAGGTAAAACGCATTTATTCTTCTACTCCTCTTAAACTTTAAGAATAACGATTAAGAGTATCTGAAAAAAATATTTATCCAAGAGTATTTCAGTTATTTATTTAGTAGACTAAATTTTTATACCTTAGATATCCAATTATTGTTACATACATTATTTAATCTTATTGCATATATTTGCTATGATAAGACTCTTTTTCTCTCTCTATTAAGATATTAAATTGAAACAAGAAAACATAAGAAAATTATAATGTTAATTAGAGTTCCAATTACGTTATTGTTTTATATAAGATTCTGATGTTGTTTTTTGAAAATCTACATTATAGCTGATTTTATTTTATTTGTTCGGAATGAGTTTCTAAAATTTTTACCTTCTAATAAACAGAATCAATGATTGCTAAGATGAAAATTCTCATTTTAAAAATAGAAAATACCTTAAGGTTTAGATTCTTTATAAAAGGATCGCCAATAAGAAATGACTAATCTATAATCTTTTGAATGTTTTTGTCGTACTAGATTTACTTTTGACTTCACTTTTTTTATGTATCGTTTCTAAATTTGTTTATATATTCTCTTCCTTTTTTTTATAAAATCTTTTTCCAGTTAGAACACCCAACACCGATTGTTTATTGTTTGATGAATGACTATTTTTCCTAAAGCTTCCTGCATGCTAAATGTCTCTAATGTGCATCTTCTTTTTTTAATCATATTCAGTAATGTTATCCTTTTTTACTGATGATTTTTGTAGAGTACTATTAATTGCTTCACTCAATCATTAAATCTTTTCAACTTTTTCAACATTGAATCTATTTCTATGGCAATAGCAACATCAACTTTTATCAAAGCTCAGATATCAATTATTCCATAAATGACAAACAAAAAGGATCTAAAATAAAACCTTAGTGGATTCCATTGAGAATATGTTTACTAAATTTCTGGAGAAGAATACAGATGTATAGCTAGATTATAATTTAAAAAAAATTTCAAATGTCACAAAAAAGATACAATTACGGATCATAGGGAGTAAGCCCCCATTCTGGTCACCATCGCCCCAATAAAGAATCTATGAGGATTCCTTAACTGTAGAAAGCATGATTAGGCCATTCATGGAAAAGGGTAACATGGAGGAATTGATTTAAAAATATTATTAGGAGATTGAACAAGGCCAAAACAAGGGGAAACTGAGAATGAACTTATTTAGGAGAGTGAAGTTATGCTGGATGGACACGAAGGAGAGGTCCTATGGTTCCAAGGAAGTACTAATTTCAAAATGAAAGAAATGGGACTGCAGATATCAATGGAATACGGGCAATATTCTCAATGAGGGGTGACCATTCAACATTTTACTTACTATATCGATAACAAAACAAGGAGATGGAAAATTTTTTTTACAGATTTTTAATTGGATACTTTTGGAATTGTAAGATTTTATAAGAAATACAATCATAATATATAATAAACGACTATTTAAGCAAGGCTAGATGTATATAAATCGAACACCTTCCCAGATAAGAACACAAGAGTGCTGGAAGTGTTTGATTATAAGAAGACATTTCAATCTGATTGAATTTGAATGTGTGTTATACATCATATTCTTCTACGCAAAAACTACAATGATCAAAACAGGAAAGTCATATAGTTGGCAAGCCAAGATTGATCATAACATATTAGCGAAGCAAGAGTAAGAAAGAAATTGATCCTTACTCTGCAGAGAAAATCTAGATGTGATGATCATTGAAGATTCAAAGAATAGCAAATGTCTTGTAAATTTTAGAGAGATAAAGAAAAAAAAAGAACTGAGATAACTAAAAGCGGAAGAGAGAATATCAGACTAAACTCAGCGAGGAGCGAGGTCCAATTTGGAGATGAAAAGACTAATAGGATAATATAGTCACTAAAAAGATGAGTAACCGTAGAAAGAAGAACAAGAAATTGAAAGAATTGAAAATCTCCCAGCTCGGCTTAAGTGTTGATATAGGAGTCTAATAAGTAAATTGGTCTTGTACCACAATATTTATTTCCGAAGGGGTTGAAAAACTGTGTGCCAGAGAATTGATGTGGAATTGTTTTAAGAATTCATTTAAAGTTAACTTGGAATATTTAAAAATTTCAGGATCTTTAATGAGTTAAACTATAGGCTAGAAAAGATGAGATAATGACAAACATTAATAAGGGTATCATGGAAGGTATATGTATTCTTTGTGGACAGCAATAGGAACAATATTTAAAAGAAGGCAAGTAACAGAGAAAAGTTTAGGTATATTATACATAATTTTAATGTACAAATGAAAAATGGAAATACTCCTAGTTCATAAAATTAGAGATTGAGATTTATAGGAATAGCCAAGATTTCCTTTAATAATTTTATTGGATGCCCCCTATGCGGATTTACCTTCAACAAAGAAGTGATATTTAAACATTCCTGCACATCAAGTATAAGCCTTGATCTTCCGTATAACCGTCCATGGTGATACATATATTCATGCATAATAGTTATAATTATTCTTATGAATAGTAGCTATTATTATAACTATTCAATGGCTAAAAGCTCCTTCTTATTGAAAAGGATGAAAAATTCTTATTTTCTCTAAAGGATTAAAAAGACTCTCTTCTTGCAGCCATATAGTAGTACTAGTTATACAGAAACTCTGCCTTTTTTAGACCATTCGTTTTTGTTTTCAATTCTTCGATCATCTTATCAATAAATTAAGAGCGACCAATTTAGGATTAAAAGCCTATTGAAGAAGGGTTAATATTGGATGTAAATATTTTATTAATCTTGGTACACATACTAGCCTCATAATGAATATGTAGATTAGTTTCATCAGTTCATTAGTTTATTCATAAAAGCGCGGTCCTCATTGAGATAACTTACTTATCTATTGAGTACTATTAGGTCATAAAGGACAGCTTTATTCGATTAAGAAAAGTGCTTAAATGACTTTCTATTGTGTTTAATTTATAATGGATCCTTCCGTTTTGAATGGTTTTAAATTTATTGAGTAAGTAATAATATCATAGAATTCCTTTGATTATTTGGAGATTAGTAAAGACCTGCATGCTTTTAAAGCATCAGATAGGTTCTTGTTATTGATAAAATTTTTAGTCTATTTATTTAATATGAAGGAATTCAGGATAATTGGATATTTTCATATAATCAAGATACTGTAAAGTTTAAATTGGAGGGAGTTCAAGTATTTTTTTCATAATTCAGCATTAATAATAGGCCTTTGAAAAGGTGTTCTTACAGAATGATGAGGGATGTGGAAATAGATTAGTGTATAGAATTCAATCTATAAAAATGCATCTTATATTTTTATTTTTTTTTCCTCATTAAGAGTTAATAGCACCACCAATAATGGCAGCAGAATATAAAAAACTTTAAGAGTTGCTTTCCATTCAATCTTGGTTGGACTAATTAGATGTATGTTTACTATATTGTAAGGAAAATTTCTTAAAAAGGAATTAGCTATTTAGTTTTAATTCCTCCATTCTTAAGCAGGAAATTTTGAATGAATTAGAGTCATTATTTGGTTCCCTCTCTTATTTACCAATAGCATTAATATTGAATAAAGTTAAGATTATTATTCATACCATATTTTGCTTCCTAAGCCATGATAATATTAAATTTCTGGAAAACTTTATATTTCCATTGGAATACCCCTAGATGCTCCAAGAGAGGATATTCAGGTCATGAATCAATTATGATTTATTAATTGTGTCTGGTCTAATTCGCCTTTACACTAGAACTTTTGTTCTATTAGATATTAGATATTTGGCTAATTAGGAATTAATAGTTCCATACCATCAGATCCCGCGATTGCATCGTAGGCGGGAAGAGAATTAGAAGCCTTATTGAGAATTCAGAACTTGTATAAATAATATTTATGAGAGCAGGCTATGATTTGAATAAAGATTGTTTTAAATTATTCAAAATTGATAGTGTAAAGAAATAGCACTTACGCTTTAATAAATACCTAGATCAGAATCATATTATGTGAGAATAGAGTATTCTAATATCATTTATCACCTAAAATTGAATTTTTTATAGAATGTGTTATTTCTAATCCTTAATAAGATTAAGTAGTTTATCATTTATAATCTAAAATGAACTTGATTTCCACAAAAAATATCATAATCATTCTGACCACTCAATTATACGTTGTACATCAAAACATTTTTTTAAACTTAAAGTCAGGAATTGCACCTTTGAAATTCAATAAATCATGGCCATTACTGCAGAGAATATATATGTATTTTTCGTTATTTTAACCATCATACTTAATTATTATGGGATCCCTCACTCCTATCAGGAGAAAAGATTAATTAATGGGAAATACAGTTTGCATCATTTGTGAATGTAGTATAAATGCAAGCCTCAATATCTTTTAAAATACGAATAATTTACTATACCTGTTCATACAATAAGTTCAAATCAATTTGTAAACTGGTTAATTAAAAAATCTTGCTTTATCCTCCATTTTTTCTCTATCATTCTGTTTTGTCTGAGCTTCAATAGATAAATTCAGAAGTACTCTTTCTAACATCTCTAATGTTATTTAGGGAATTTTTTCATTTTACTCCCCTTTGAATTTTTTAATGTTCAAAGTAAATTAGATTATTTTTATTTAATTCGAATGTTACGAATTGGAACAACTAAATTTTATTTGAAAACTCTCATTTGTGATCCACTTTCATTGATATCCAAAAATACTCCATTTTCCATCTATTTTAGCAGACTTGATTAATAAGCGTTGCTTATCATCAACATTTTTATTTCAAGCAAATCATATTGTCCCTTTGATTCATCCGCTGCTATTTGAATTTATTTTTCTTAATCACTTCTTGAACTGTTTCCAATTTTTTCTTGGCAATTGACGATAGATTTTCTTTTTAATGTTGTTGGTCTTTCAATGAAATGAACAAAGGATGCTATTCTATATTATACTAGCAATATACTGTGTAAGATTATAAAACTATTTTGGATTCAATATAATCACAATTTTTAAAAGAGAGTCAATATGTGTATCTTAAGGTTTCCTGAAAATTTAAGTGCTAAATAAATAACTTTTAATCGCTATCCAATTTGAATCTATAATTACTCTTTGAAGATTATTACTTTTTTCATTAAATTTGCAAAAAACGAAGATCTTACTTCAAGCATATTTCTCAAGTCGTTTCTCGTTCTATTTGTGATATGATAGTGATCATTCATATTTATTTATAATTTCTTCAATTCTTTGTAGAAGATGACTATTATATTTGGTTACGCCCAAATTACATGGGAATGTTAATATATTGTAATTAATTCATTAGTCGCTTAATGCAATCAAATCTTTCAAATCTTTCAATTCTTAATCTACATTATTTAAAAAAATTTTGTTTTGAGTAACCAAATAAAATCTAATTTTAAGATATTGATTTTGGTCTTAAGAATGATTTTTTCAATGAAAAACTAATTGATTTTTTATAATATGGACTTATAATTTAACTTAAAAATTCACATTCTTTCATCTAAGACCCATTTACCATTATATTTTTCACCATTGGCAGATTTATATTCCCCTTATCCATGCCTTTTGCCATTTACCCAATCTCCATAATATATATCTCCATCAGCCCATTTAAATTCACCCTTTCCAGTTCTGTTATCATTTACCCAATCTCCATCATATGAATTTCCATTAGCCCATTTATATTTACCTTTTCCATGCCTTTTATCATCAACCCAATCTCCATCATATGAATTTCCATTAGCCCATTTATATTTACCTTTTCCATGCCTTTTATCATCAACCCAATCTCCATCATATGAGTTTCCATTAGCCCATTTATATTCACCCTTTCCAGTTCTGTTATCATTTACCCAATCTCCATCATATGAATTTCCATTAGCCCATTTATATTTACCTTTTCCATGCCTTTTACCATCAACCCAATCTCCATCATATGAATTTCCATTAGCCCATTTATATTTACCCTTTCCATGCATTTTATCATCAACCCAATCTCCATCATATGAATTTCCACTAGCCCATTTATATTTACCTTTTCCATGCCTTTTACCATCAACCCAATCTCCATCATATGAATCTCCATTATCATATTTTACACTTTTTTTAATCATTTCCTATTGTTAGAGCTTTTAATAATATATTAGAGACAATAAAAATAAATATCTTCTTGTAATTCTATTAAGTAATTTGCACTTTTTGTATACAATTCAATTGAATTTATCAATACATAAATTAACCTCTCTATTACTAATTTTTTGAACACTCTTTAGATTACTGTTGCCTATAATGATAAATCTTATTAAGTTGCAAAGGGTTCAGATAATCTGTCATGATGATTCTAAATAACGGATGTTCTAAAATATCTCTTTAATATCATCCACAACTAATAGGGGCCTGTTAAAAACAAATACTAGGTAGATAGAAAAGTAAGTGCATATGAATCGACTGACTGTAAAAAGTCACATGAACAGGATTTACAATAATTATCTCTATATTTTAGTGCTTCTCGCTTTGTGAAGTTGAGTTAAATGTATTCGAAATAGTGCAACTTTCATAGATACATTCAATTATGGAGATGTTACAGAATGTACCCTCATACAAATGTACTAAATTGTAATGAAAGTATGTGTTATTCGAATAATAATGAGTGTACAAAAGCCTTAGTGCAGAAATTGCTACAAATCAACTGCATTACTGTTTTGAGATATAAGATTTGCATAGTAGTTATAAAAATAGTATTTTGGTTGTCTATCATTCTGGCATTCATGAAATCTAATGTATTATAATTATCAATGATGATGTATGCGAAACTTTGTTCTGGTTTTGACACTGTCAACCTCCATAAAGCATTATCAACTACAATTACATAAATTGATGTAAGGCTTAAGTAGATTCAAGTAGTTATATGAATAGTAATGCTGCACAATTTACTAATCACAATGATCCATTTATAGATGAAACTGGCATAGGCTTCTTAAATGCTTGCTCAGTTAACAGTTAGAACTGTCAGTATCAGCATTATCACAAAAGATACTCTCACATAATATTCTGAGAGAGAATTTGACAATGCAAAAAAGAGAAGAATGTTTATTTTCCTAATAAGTATGTATTTACAAGAACGTGATTCTTCAGCTATCGCTTTAACTATATTCTAGCTGGTTCAATAATTGTGTTCTAAAGACAGATTTTAGATGGTTTAAAAGTGCTTCTACCATTATTTACAAATGCTATTGCTGTTGGATTCAATAAACAATCATTTTATCTAGCAATCTTAATGGTGGAACATTTAAGAAATAAATTAAGGTCAATTAATCCTGAGTTTACATTTGTTGTGGTAATCATAAAAATGTTAACCAACAAGAAAATATCCATCCCAGCAATTGCATATCAATAAATTAGCAAGGCTTACTCCAATTTCTGCTAGTAATACATGCAAATGAAAGAAAAGTAAAAGAGGATAAAATAAATAAAACTATGTCTTTAATACAAATGCTCAGCTCCAATAACAGTCATTCAGAATTCAGTAATAATTATAACAAAAGAATCCCACATTTTAAAAATAAATATGATATGGAGAGAGAAAGATGTACTTTTTTTAATATATGGTAAATCTTTTAAAGATGTCTAACTAAATATACAAACAATACATATGATTCGACTATGATTGATAAACAACTTTATCAAAAGTAAGAGAAGGTTTGACAAAAATCAAAGCTAGTAAATAAATCATTTAGAAAATTTATTCGATACACTATAAAGTAAGAGTATAACAAATAAATGTTAAAGCCTACTAAAGTATGGATCAAAATAAGTATATAATGCTGTGATACAGAAATTATAAAGAAGGAAGAAAATATGCCAAAATTTCCAAAAAACAATAATGTTTTATGGAAAGTAGCACTTTCAAATGTAAATCAAATGGATTGTATTGTGCTAGCAGATATTTTGTAGTTTTTTTTGACCTTTAGAATTTTCATAAATGAAGAGGATTAAATCCATTAGTTTTCGAATGCTTAGGACTGGATTTGTTAGAGAATAAACTCATTAAATGTGTCAATTAATTGCTGCTCACAAATACTAGCACTTGAGAAACCTTGTGATATGTTAAAAGGTGAAATTTATTAAATATATTTTAAGGGTATTATTTACAATAAAAATTTATAATTAATTACGAAATGATATATTGACATCAATTAGTTAAGGATAAGGTGAGGTTACACTTTTGTGAAGCCAAAAATTGATTACACACATGATTGTAAGTAAATGGTGATCTAATTCTCGCTAAAGTAGCAAAAACCATTACCGAATTCTAAATTGAGAACTTTTTTAAAAATAAAAGAAGATCATATTCTTAAAGTCAATAGAACCATGATTGACCTTACGTTTTTCGTAAAAGTGAAATATTCTCTTGCAAATAAAAATTAAATGGGTTCTAGAGTAGTATTTTAGGTTAACTGTTTTGCAGAATTGTTAAAAGAAATAAAAAATGTTGTAAGGGATGGCGAATATAGAATGATTGAGTTATAAAAGTTAATTTTATATAATTACTAAGTAATAATAAATCCCTGAATAGAATAAAATAAAAATTATCAAGTTGTTTTATTGATATTTTATTGCATTTATGTAAATTTCCAGTATCCAAGCCTTAAAATGTTTAAAATCAAATCTGTCAAGGGTTTACAATAATTGAATCAAAAATTAAACAAAAAAAAAGAAGTTTTATATTTTTATGAGCTGCGAATTTAATACTTGCTAAATTAAAAGGTTACCTTTTCAGTTTCCTTGATTTATTGAAAAAATGTTTAAAGACCTTAAATCAGATTAAGTTCATGTGTGTATTATTTTTATTAAATTTATAATAATTTTCAATTTGAATTATGGTTATCAATTTATGGAGTTATGCTTGCTTTGCCAATAGAAAATAAAGGGGAAATCAAGATATTATTCTCATATGCAAAGAGGGAAGGAAGCATCTATCATGTCTCAAGATACAATAACAAGCGTAACCATTACATTATCTACCTTTGGTGAAGAAATAACTTTGTCTGGGCTAGGCCTCAGATAATTAGACGGCTGTACACCAATATACATACCACATGTCACTAACATTAAAGAATAAAAGAATATAATCGAATAAGTTTCATACCTAGCCAAGAAGACTGGCGCATTTCGGGAACCTTTTATCGAATACCCACAAATTCAAAAAACTAAATTTTGTTTTTAAAGGGTTTGGGTTTTGGGTTTGGGTTTTGGGTTTGGGTTTTGGGGTTGGGGTTTGGGTTTCGGTTTGGGTTTGGGTTTGGGTTTGGGTTTGGGTTTGGGTTTGGGTTTAGTTTGGGTTTGGGTTTGGGTTTGGGGTTGGCTTTGGGTTTGGGGTTGGGTTTGGGGTTGGGGTTGGGGTTGAGGTTGGGTTTGGGTTGGGGTTGGGGTTGGGGTTGGGGTTGAGGTTGGGTTTGGGGTTTGGGGTTGGGGTTGGGGTTTGGGTATCTTTCGGTGTGCATTACC